GAAAATATTGGCCATTTGTTTCTTCTCTCTCTCTGTCTGTCTGTCTCTCTCTCTCTCTCTCTCTCTCTCTCTCTCTCTCTCTCTGTTTCTTGCTGTGTTTTCTCCTCCCTCTCTTCCCCCACTTCTTTCCTTCCTTCTTCCTTCCTTCCTTTCTTCCTTCCTTCCTTCCTTCCTTCCTTCTTTCCATCCTTCCTTCCGTCCTTCCTTCCTTGCTTTTGAAAATATGACACTAGAGTATTTCTATTGGTTCTTTCAAAAGGAACCGTGTTTGCTACAGATGAATTTCATCTTTAAAAAGACAATATACTCAATCATGTTGGTTACAGGAAAATAAATTGACATTCTAAGTAACAATATTTGTTTGAATAAAAGACTTCATTATAGAAACCTTAAACACAGTGAGACTGTGTGAGGCTTTAGCTCACACAGGGGAAACACATTGTTTCTAAGAAAATTCTGTTATGACCTATGTGCCATAAATTAAGGATAATAGTAAAGTTAAGACAAGAAACTGAACAATAGCAGGGATGCCCATGTAGTTTGTTTACTATTTGATATTCAGCAGTTTATTTGAGTCTAATAATCCCAGATAGGTTTAATTATATTAGACAATAATACAGTTTTCTCTCTTTGCCATATTTAGACATTAGGCATGCAATCCTTACACCTATGAATGGCCTAATATTGATCTAAAATTTAAAAACAAAAATCAAAAATATAATGTAAAACATTGAATGTGTGCTAGGTATAAGTACACTGAGAATGAGGTTAAGTTGTCATTATTCTTGAGCTTTTAAATTTTAATCTGAAAAAAAGAGGCTGAAGCAAAATTGGACAAAAAGCTACTAGTTATCAATATTTTAGCAATATAACAAAAAACTATTAAAAATGTTAGAAACTATCTTCTAACTAAATTCAGGTAACTCAAATATATATTAACACATTTTTTTAAACCTGCTACTCAAAATGCATTCTTTAAAAACTTATTTATTTATTTCTTTATTTATTTATTTGGTACAGAGTCTGGCTATGCATCTCAGACTCATAGTAATCCTTCTATCTCAGCCTCTCCAGGCCTGGGATTACAGACATGCACCAAAAAGCCCAGTTTCGGTGGCTGGCACAGCATGCCCAGGTTCCAGGGCTGGCACTGCATGTGGGGCCAGGAATCAAATCAGGTCCTTGAGCTTGTAGGCAGGCATTTAGACCACTGAGCCATCTCCCCAGCCCCTCAAAATGTATATCTGATTTGTACAAAAGCAGTCATTAGATACTTCATTTAAAAATATACATAATTCAAAATGAAAACAAAGGAAAGGTTAACCAATCAATAAATAGGTATAAATATAAATTATTATTGTATTTTACACCCAGTTTTCTAATATGTAACAAAGTTTATATGACTACTATAAATATCATGTGTATATTCAGCTAAACACACACAAACACACGCACACACACACACACACACACACACACACGGTAGTACAAATAAAGGTAAATGTCTTTATCTCTGTCCTACTTGACAAATAAGTTGCAAGAATTTCCTCGTTCTTGAGGCATATAAAAAAAGTAATTGGTACTCTGCTTCTAACTATGATGAAGGAATTTGAACTTTATAAGCCTCCTATTAAACAAACAAAACAAAAGGCAAAGCAAAACAGAAAACTAAACAGAGTACATAAAGTAATTGTAATCTGTGCTGAAAATCAATATGGAATTGTGATGTCTAAGAGAAGGAAAAGAACAAGACAGCCCCCTGCGGTCCTGCCTCAAGGTATCTTCTGGACCATGGTAAACGTGAAGAAAAACAAAAAGGAAGTTGACCACAGCTATTGTGCTGAATTAAGCAAACAGGATCAGAGGTCACAGCAGTGCTACTCCCAAAATTTGCAATACAGACAGTAAGAGGCGCTATGACCAAGAAACAGTCAAACATCTTCTGGGCGTGCCCTTGAGTCTATTAATAAATATTAAGGTAAAAGAGCATGGGGTCAAAGTCCCCAAAGCCTGGCAGAAGTACCGCAAGTGCAATGAGCTGAAAGGGTTCTAGAGTTCACGTGAGTATGGGAAATATGCAGATTCAACCCAGCAGCACAGAAAGCTTCATATTGAACATCCAAAGTATGCAGTGGAATAGCAGGAAAATACTGCCATGTACTACAGTTAATCATGGCCTTATAAAAGCGTAAAAACTGAACATCAAAAACTGTAACTCAATATCCAAATGATCCCACTACTTGGAAGAACAATGTCCAATGTCTAAGGATTTTTGTATGGCAATATAAAAGCACAGGAAACAAAAGCAAAAAAAATGTTGTAATGTGATGTCATCAAATTAAAACTTCTTCTGTATAGCAAAGATTACAATCAACTAAGCACAAGAAACAAACTAAAGAATGAAAATATTTACAAATTATACTTTTAATTAAGAGTTAATACCCAAAATATATAAAGAAACAAAAACTCTCAATGCCAATAACAGCAATAAGAATCAATAGACAAGGAGGCATTTCTTGAAAGAAGACAGACAAATGGCTAACCAGGTATAAGACAAAGTGCTTAACAATAAGAATGACTATTGACAAAAAGATAAAAACAGATAAATGCTGGTAAGGATGTGGCAAAAAGAAAACCCTGTGCACTGTTGGTGGCAGGTAGAAATAAGCACAATATTACGAAAAATAGTGTAGGTATTCTTCAAGAAAGTAAAAATGAAACTACCATGTGATCTAGCAATACTATTACTAAACATGTATCCAGAAGAAATGAAATTAGCATGTCAAAAAGACATCAGCACCTCCTTGCTAATCGCAGCACTATTTACAGTAATGAAAAGGGAAAAAATGGAAATGAAAATCCCATTTCCATCCATCAATGACAAATAGAAAAAATATGACATATATATATGTGTGTGTGTGTGTATATATATATACATATATATACACACACACATATATATAATCCAGCCATATAAAAGAATAAAATTATGTTGTGACAATATAAATGGAATGAAGGATGAAATAAGCCAGGCACAGGACAAGTGCCATATAACATCACTTATATCTGGAATATAAAAAGTTAATTTCATTAAAATTGTTAATGGTATATTGCTTACAAGGCTAGAATAAGAAGTATGAAGGGGAGAGAAATGGGAAAAGATTGTAATGAAAGGTAATCTATGAATAAGAGTGAGAAGTTCTAGTGTGGTAGTGTATGATAAAGTGACTACTGTATACTATATTGTCCCAAAAAGCTAAAAGAAATGATTTTGAATTTTTTTCACCATAAAAATGTTACATGAGGAAATAATGATGCTTAACCTGATCTAAATGATGTAACGCTTACGCATCTCAAAACATCATATAGTGTCTTATAAATGTGTACAGATTTTACATTTTTATGTCAGCTAAAATAACTGTAAATTAAATTTTAGAAAGAACAATATGTATCATTTTTGAAAGAAAACAAAATGTAGCCTTGAACAATATTAATTTTACAATAACCAGCATCCTTTAGAAATCATGTGGTACATAAGCAGAGAAAAATCAAATAATAGGATACTGGGACAAACTAGAAAATGATGGGACTAAGACAATACTGTCCTTCAACAATTATATTTGTGGAGTCCCTCAAAATGGATGAAGTACTTGGAAAATACAGTAGTCAGAAAATAACAGCTGAAACTTTTCTAAAATTGATGAAATGCAAAAAATATAGATATAAAATCATGTCTTTATTAGAATTTTTAAAAACCATCAGCACAGAATTTCCTGGACTTGTATATAAATCTTTCATTCAAGTATTCAACTACATATGTAAAATCTAGATTTTCCTTCTTGACAGGAAGTGAGACATGCCTATTTGTAACCTAAGCTAATATCTTAATTTATTTTGACAGCAACATACAGATGAAACCATAGTATTTATTAAAGACTAAACAAGACCAATGTTTTCCTGATGTTTCTCCTTCATATAATGTGTTTTAGGTAAAATATCTTGTATCTAAATAATCAAGTATACCAAAAATATCTAGTGCTCTCAGAATCTATTTCCTGAGCACATGACAGGAATTCTTTAAAGATATAACAGCATACATAATAAATACTTTTAATATTACAGTTGGGATTAGTAAAATAGTGAATAAATATACTCATATAACTCACAGAAGTCAGTTTCTGGTGAATACTGTTTGGTTTTTTTTTTTTTAATTAAGTTGATTGGTCTAATTTAGATATGCACAATGATGACACTCCTGGTAGGGGATGTGCCCCTGTACATGCTATATCTTGGTTTCTCCTTTTATTTTGTATTCTTCTTCCCTCCTTTCAACCTCTCTTCCCCTCCTTTTTCACAAGGCTTTTTATCCATTTTTTTCGTCTTTTCTCAATTTCTCTTTTTCCCTCCTTTCTTTTCCTCCTCCCCTTCATGAGTTCCCCTTTCCTTTTGAACAATTTCTTCCTATTTTGCAGTATCTGTTATACATTTTGGTCCTTATTTATACTCAATATTATCTCTGGCAAATGTTGTTAATTCTCTTCTTAAGAAAGTGTTGATATACTCAGATTAGAAACAATTTAGACATGCTGCCTCTTCCTATGGAAGATAAAATTTAAACAGGTGATATGCCATATAGAAAATTAATTTCTGCTATGCATACCAATTCAACTTCAGGATAGGAGGCCCTGAACTAGTGTGGATTTCCAAAGAAGCAGAATCAATAGGACTTGGATGGATAGATAGATATAGATAGATAGATAGATAGATAGATAGATAGATAGACAGACAGACAGATAATAGGTAGCCAGATAAATATAGAGGTGCAATGATGTATTATAAGAAATTGGCTTAGACAGTGATGAAGAATTGATGGTATTATTTAAGTTCAAAGACAAGAGAACATTTAATCTCAGCTCAGACACTCAAGCAGAGAAGGAATTCCCCCTTACTCCTCCACTAAATAAATAAATAGAGTACTGGTTATTTCTCATGGACAGTCTCTTACCTGAGACATACAATGCAAAAAGACCATGATAATCAAGTTTAATAAGCAAAGGAAGTAACCTGGGTGGAAGAAGCTAACGCCTGGGAACACATGTCACTTTAACACAGCTGAAAGCTGGCCAAAATCTGTGTTTAGTAGGTGCTATTATTCATATAATGTATTTTAAGAAAAACATGTAAGTTGAACATAATTAAGTACTTCATGCTGTGTTGCTGTTGTTGTTGTTGTTGTTTTTGCTCCCCTCCCTGTTTGGTACATTGCTTTTTTAGCACCTGTAATATATATCACCTTACCTCTGTGTACCTGACGGTCATCCAAGGATCTATACACAGCCGATATGCCTTGTGATTTTCTGTATGGAATATACTGTCTCTTTTTTAGATTCATTAGAAACTGAACATAAATATAAAAAGGAAAAGAGAAAATATATAAAGAGTATATTTGAAATAATAAAAATTTAGCCTGGGAAACACGAATGAGGGTGTTCTAAGTAATAAATGGATAACAAAGGTTAGTGGCGGTCTTTCCCTGTAGATGAAAATAACAGGAATAGATTCTACGTTCCATCATAGAATGTGTACTGTATACACTGTCTAACCCAGAGCTGCTTTACATGCAACAAACTATGAAGATGATTTAGAACGAATCTTTGAATGTACACAAATAAATACACTAAGAAAATATATAATCCTTAAGAAAATTGGGTCTTCATTAAAAAAATTGAAGTATTCAAAATAAGCTTTAACTTTATAATAGGTATTTTACTTCCACAAAGTTAGATTTCAGGCTAAGAGGCAGAGATAAGTCACAATTTAAAAATTAATATTTTAACTTCATTTCCAAAAGTTGTTTTTAAAAATCCCAAAGAGATGCTTTATCTCATAATTATTTTTAAAGAAAAGTATTAATGGTGACCCATGACATACATGATTTCTTGCAAATAATAAGATGATTTTTCCAAATGAATTTCATCTCCAATTAATTCTCCTAGTCATAAACTAATACAAATAATCTGATTTCTTACTTTAATTTAGAATCAGTAATGAACTTGAATATCCCCTTCCCACTAGTATTTTCATTACAATTACAAAATTTAAAGTCTTAGTAAGTTAACTTCTTTTTTCTACTTGGCCCACATATTAGGAATAAAACAACCAAAATCTACATATTTGATATTCTAAGCAGATATGTTGTCCCTAAATGCGGTATTCTCCCATAACTTTGTTTTTTATCCAATCCAGCACTAATGTATGCAAGCATTTTTGGGAATGTTTCTGCAATTATCCAAAGACTGTACTCGGGAACTGCCAGGTACCACATGCAGATGCTGAGAGTCAAAGAGTTCATTCGCTTTCACCAAATCCCCAACCCTCTGCGGCAACGGCTTGAAGAATACTTCCAGCATGCATGGACGTACACTAATGGCATTGACATGAACATGGTATGTATTGTTTCCCAAAACAGAAGCACCACAGGCGTCATAGTATAGCCAAAGTGGAAAGGCCAGTGTCACCAGCTTTGAACCCCTTGCTTTTATTTTCTTCTCTCGGACATTTATTTTCTTCCCTGGAGAGAGTGTCTCATTCTCAATTCATGGCATTGCATGGTGCTATATCTAGTTATATTGTGTGGCAAAGGCATTATAACATGATGCAAACTGATATAGCTGTGCATAGTTGAGTTCCCACCTCCAGTCAGAGAGAACCGCTTTAGCTAGGACTGTCACTGTATGCTGTAGTAACCAGCATGCAAAAGCAGTAGCTGGACCCATGGGTAACTAGCATTTGGCAAGTGAAATGCAACAACTGTGATGTTCCCAAATAGAAATCCAAGGTTAATACATCTTAAAATATAGAAAATTTTGGAGAGGTTAGAGAACCTAAGTATGACATAACCATTTTCTGTTAGAAAGTTTCATGCTTCTTTTAACAATCGTTTTTCTGTACTTAAAACAATTAACTTTGTACCCTTTCAATGTACATGATTTAATGACTGTTTCCTTTCAAGAAAGAAATATGGATTCCTTCATACATTTTTTAAAAATATGACATCAACAATCACTTGACATATGCCCACCTCCTATGTCACTGCTCAAAAAACCCAACATGATTAACATTAATATGATCCGAGTTTTTAATCGTTTTATTATTATTCTTTTACCTTCCCTTTTGATTTTACAGATTAATTTCTACTGATAAGTTTTACAACAAGTATAAATGTTCAAATTCAATACAGATATAGAATATAGACCCATGGAATTAAACAAAAGACTAAAACATGAAACCTCACACCTGATCACTTCTCCTCTGAGAAAGAGCCATTTTTGAGAATTCTTTAGAAAATAAAATCCCTCAAATTTAATTAGATCAATTACATAATACAATGTTCGTGTAAGCAAACCTGTAAAATTTAGATTGTTCCCCCAAAAATATCTAACATAAATATAAAAAAATTAAAACCAAAAATTCAAAGTTAGCAGTAGTGGTACAAGAAAGATTACAAATATTATCTAACTCGAGAGACATGTCTGGTTTTTTTATAGCTGCATGTGATTCATTTGACTGAGAAATAAAGAAATATTATTATAAAACATTTTGTTGAAGAACTAGTGAAATTATTACATTTCAGACAAAATTGTAGATGAACTACATGAGTTATTACCGATAATCCCGAAGTACATCTTGGGAAAAAAAAATTCACCTAATAAACTGATTTCCCCAAGGGAAGTTTTTGATCTTATAAGAAAGAGCAACTACACATGGGCTACTTTTGTGTACTTCATCAGTATTCTTGTTTAACGAAAGTATCAGCATTAAAATCTATTGGGGAACCTCTACTGCTGGGTTGACTGAAGCAGTGTCAAGAATTTTTAATCAGAGAAATGTGTCATTCAGTTTTATTGCTGTATACTGCCAGATTATTTCAAAACCAGTACTGAAATGACATTTATTTTACTTCCCCTCTCCATAAACTCTAGTTTTACAACCATTTTTATGATATAAAGTCTATTTTGTGACAACTATTTACCTTTCATTGTTTGAGTCTATTACCTATGAATATGGTTTATATACCACTTGCCTATTTATAATGTACTTATGAAAGATTTATCTCTTTCCTGTCTGCTTCACACCTTAATACATGGAATCACAACACCCACCGGTAAGAACAGGAGGTATTTATATCCAATTTAATTCTGTGTAAATTGTGGAGAACACCCTTGTTATCTGTTAGGCTTAGAGCTTGTTAAGTGATTTCCAATGTTAGCTCTGATCTTTTGCATGACGTAGCAGAGGAAATAAAAATCAAGAAACTGGAAAGGATAGCATGGAAGAGGCCAAGTACAGAGGAGAAATTCTTAATATTAATGGAGACTTGACCTCTCACAATATTTATATGCAGTTTCCCATTTACCACAAAAAAAAAATCTATGTCTCTGCCCCAATTTCCACTCTGGTAAAGATTATGGGTATACGGTTTGCATTAGATAACTGTCATAAAGAAAATGTCATTTTCATTCCTCATCCTCTATTTTCACGATGTAGGTGCTTTTCTTTCCTCTCACCTGCATGCCAGTCTTCCACGATCCTGGAATGTGTGAACTCTGAGCCATGTGCTGCTGAACCTTGCATGTGGTTTGGAGACCTTGACTTGCACGATCCTGTATGTACATGTCTCCATTTCTCATTTTGTGACTGCAAAGTGAGTAAAAAAAATCAAAGTGCAAGATAACTCTGACAATTCAGCAAACAGAAGATGCGTACTTTTTAAACATGGTATGCAATACATAGTCGACTAGAGAAAAGCAACTGTACACTTAGGCTGTTGAGAGGTAAAAGAAAAAAATCAAAGTGGACTTTTTTTTTTACTTCCAAATCTGGATTGTTAACATTCTTGTCTCATTAATTTATTGTCCACTAAGTTGTAATTTAGTAGCAGCTGAAAAAAATTTAAATTTTTGTACCGTGAGACATAAAAGTACATCAAACTGTTGTATTGTGCATCAGCATTCCATGTTATTTCATTTAAATATAATCTTAAATATAATTTTTCATAAGACATTTCAGGTCATTTTTGCTGTTCAACCATGTTCAAATTAAGTACAGGGTTTCCACTCACATTGTATTAATGGGCCTAAAATTATTTTCATGAACTAAAACATTTGAGCGCTTGGTAATAACTAATAGGGAAGAAATGATCTAAAAATGTGACTATATTCCATATCTCTTCATCTTTTATTTTTTGTGGAAACTATAGCCAGAATATCCCAGAACCAAAAGTATTCTGGAAATCATTCTTAACTCCTTTTCAGTTGTACCAAAAATGTGTAGAGTACCAAAGGGCAAGAACCAAGGTAATGGAGTAATGAAAGGAACATGTTCTTCAAATTTTAATTTAGGGTTTAGGATTGTCAGTACACCCTCAAAGATGTGCACAGGTTAATTCTGGAAAACCCTTCTCTATCTACAGAAATTTGACAAAAACTGAGGATATCCTTTCTCACATTAGGGTTGTTGGCACACCAAGGAATTTCCCCAAATGAAAATGTTCATCTGACCCAGTTTGAAACTCTGAGGTTATCCAACATTGTTTTAGTTATAAAATTACTACAATAATGCAAGGCGCCTTTGATGCTAGAGTACAACTAGGTGTTGTCACATTGCACACAAGATCCTGGCTTGAGGGAAGAACAGCGTTGCTGCCCAATGCGCCCCTCTGAATAGAGGGAAGGTTGCCATTTCAGACAGGCACCCTTTATAGTGTAATATTAAATTGGCATGGAGGAAATGCCTTTAAGAACATTTGCTGAGGAATTTATTACTCACCCAAATGCACTGTTCTTTCACTCACCCAGATAATGCCTGAGTAAGAGGAAAAAAATATAGAATAGGGATTCGAAGTCCTATGCACAGTTCTCAATCTGCCACGACTCTTGGACAAGTCACTTAACCTCTGCAATTTCATGAAACTTTCCATTTACAAGTGTCATTGAAGCACCAGTGCTCAAATATGCTAACTGTAAATTACGAAAGCTTTGTGCCTGATGGAGACCCGACTCTATCTGCCACCTACCTCCTCCTCGGCCTGCAGTGCACATCTGAATCTCCCTTGTAGAACGCCTGTTTCTGTGCAGCAGTAGCCTCAAGATCACGACACTAGGTGGGCAGAAAATGCTGATGGCAGAGAACCAGAGAGATTTCAAGCAAAGCAAGGGCACAAGTTGAGGCACGTTACACAGTGCAGGACGGGACAGACTAAGGTCACCCAGAAACACTTTGTTTCATTTAAGACAAAATGGAGTAACTGAGTGTTGTTTACCCAAGATCATTCATGGAGGAAATTCTGGGAGACAGACATAGAAAGGATATGGAATAGGAACTTTGGAAGGGGAATGGTTCTTCAGCAGGGTGGAAAGAGAAGTTTTCCTAGAAGACAGGTAGGGAAAAAAAAGGAAGAAGGTGAGGGCGTTGGTTGTGATGGGTGCAAGAGGGAAGTTGACAGCACCTGCACTGCTCGTTCCAGTCTTCCAGGTAGGGCAGAGGCTAATTTCTGCAAAAGCAGAAGGTGTGCTGTCGACCCTGAGCTGAAAGGGGAGGGTTTTTGTAGACTCCAAGCAACAATGAGGGTCATGCTCTAAAAATACTTAGAATCATGTCATAAATTCAATGACATAGTCCTTTGTAATAGACCTGAGAAGCAACACCAATCAAACTGGCAAAGAGAATAATAAAGAAAACATTGCTTAATGAAAATCTTCATTTCTTGGAGCTGATATGATTTCTAAGGAGCATTTTGATGGCATTTGATTTCTTTTACTTTTACAACTCTTTTCTGGTCTTTCTGTCACTTGTCAGTGTGGCCCCCTCCACTGCTAACACTGCTAACTCTGACCTTATCTCTGCTTAAATTGTTTGTTTTTATTGTTTGTTTGTTTGTTGTTGTTGTTGTTTTTAGTTGAGGTTTATTTTTTGGTTTTGGTGATAAGGACTAAACCCAGGGCTCCTAGCTTATTAGGCTGACCTAAATCCCCAGCCCCTGACCTTATCTCTATATTTAGTCTTTCTCTGCTCCATCAAAAACTGTAACAACCATTCTTACATCAAATAACCTCATTTGTGCCAAAGCTTCATATTCAGATCAGGGTGCATTAGCATATCAGCATGAAATATAATCACCAAAGCTTACAGTTTTATTCACTTCAGCAACTCAGATAAAAACAATCCTTGTAACACTAAACCTCATCGTTAGTATAAAGGCACAACATCAAATAGCATTTTTTGCTTTCAAAACTATTGTTTCATCTATTTTACCTTTTTCTAAAGATCTACACTGGTCCATATAAATACAGTGAAAAAATGAACTTCAATTTATCATAGCACTAAACTAAAATTACTGACAAGGATGCATTCAGTAAATCAAAGTGTTGCATTCTTGTAATCTCAG